CGTGCTAGAGTGTTTGGTAAGACTTTCATTACCGCCTTACCGCCACCTGTGACTTATCTCAATTTTTCTTCTTATTTCAGATTTATACGGTGCCATGGAAAAGCATCGGGCTTTCTTAGCAATGATAGCCCGCAAGAAAGAAAAGCTGAAGAAAGCTAGAGAAGGCACATCCTCTCCTGATGCTGCGGGTTTGAAGGATCTCACTTCCCGATCGGTCCAGTCTGCACCGAAGGTTTCTACTGATCAACCCTCCAATTTTCCTCCGAATCCTGAAGTCCACCCTGAGAGTGATGCAAAGAAAAAAGCTTCTAGAGAGAAATCCACTTCTTCTAATAAGAAAAGCATGAAGAAGACATTAGAGGTTCCTCTACGCGCTGGTCCCCTCGATCCGAGCTTAAGCATTATTGATAGTCTTCAATACCACCTCCAACCCGAGGAGAAGAAACCCTTCAGGGAGATGTCTCCCAGTGAAGCCTTGGATATGGCCTATGAACTCACCGCTTGGGCCAACGTGTGTATGAGTTATGCTGCTGGTGCAGCCAAATCTTTGATGGCTGAAGAATTAGAATTCGCTCGTCAAGATTTAGAAGCTGCCCAAAAGGAAAACGTCAGCCTGTCACTTCGTTTGAGCGAGGCCCTGAAAACTGCGGAGGACGATCGTGGGAAGGCCGCCACTGCTTTGACCCAAGCTAAAAATAAGAATCGTCAACTCAAGCTGGCCAATGATACCTTGAAGTTGGACTTGTAGAAAGCTTCAACCCAAAATGATGAGCTGATAAAAGAGAGGGACTCCCTGATTGTCGATCAAAAGAAACTTACTACAGAAAATGAATACCTAGCCCGTGCCGTGTGCGACGAACGCCTTCATGGGTTCGAACAGGGCATCGCGCAATGTCATCACTTCTTTGAAACCCCTCTAACTCACCCTGGATTCGACAATAATGCAACCCAGTCTGCCATCAACCTTAGCATCGCACAGGAGACTCCAGCTTCCGAGCCTGCGGGTGATGAAGACGTGACCCTCAACACTTAATCATGAACTCTTTCCAAGCTGTACTTTTTGATTTTACCTAGTTTTTGGCCTGTGCTTGGTGTGATTTCCTATACAAACTTTTATCAATGAATGATCAAAATGTTGGTCTTATATTGTATTCGATATTGGCCAACATTAGTTTTAATTGATACCCTCATCGCGCTGCTACTCTTTTATTTTCTTCGTCATTTAAGAAGTAAAAATTGTCCGATATTTACCGATAACAGACGACAAATAAAGGAACGTGACCTTTTAGTCCTGAAGTTCGCAAATTCAGTCAAGCGGTAAGGACCCCCTTTTGAGCTTAACAGCCCGAGGGCCTTTTCCTGTGTTGAGCGACGAATGACAGGGACCCCCTTTTGAGCTTAACAGCCCGAGGGCTTTTTCTTATGTTGAGCGACGAACGATAGGGACCCCATTTGAGTTTAACAGCCCGAGGGCCTTTTCCTGTGCTCAGCGACGAATGACAAGGACCCCCTTTTAATCTTAACAGCCCAAGGGCCTTTTCCTGCGTTGAGCAACGAACGATAGGGAACCCATTTTGAGCTTAACAGCCCGAGGGCCTTTTTCTGTGTTGAGCGACGAACGACAAGGACCTCCTTTTGAGCTTAACAGCACGAGGGCCTTTTCCCGCGTTGAGCGACAAACGATAGGGACCCCCTTTTGAGCTTAACAACCCGAGGGCCTTTTCCTGTGTTGAACAACTAAAAAACGAACAAAAATTGCTGAAAAAAGCTCCTGATGTTATTTATTAGCTAAATGCAAATTTACATGGTATTAGCTAAAATAAAACTTTAAATGAGTTGCGTTCCAAGTATTTGAGACGACTTTGCCATTCAGATGCCCCAACCGATATGCTCCACCGCCAAGGCTTTAAGCTATCTTGAACGGTCCTTCCCAATTGACAGTGAATTTTCCATGGGCCCGCTCTTTCCTAGCGTCTGCTATTTTACGCCACACTAAATCGCCCTCTAAAAAATGCCTAGGCCGGATTTTCGTATTGTATCTTCTTGCAATCAGTCTTGTTTGCTCCTCCGACCGAACAACCGATGCCTCTCGTTTTTCTTTCAAGACATCTAACTCGGCCCTCAACGACTCCTCATTTCGCTTAGCATCTTCCAACCTTCTCCTAACCGTGGCTTCTCCTACCTCAACCAGAAGCATCGCATCGGTGCCATATGTGAGATTGAAAGGAGATTCCCTTGTAGTGTCGTGCGGCGTACAACAATAACTCCACAAGACTTCCAGCAACTCATCTGACCATGCTCCCTTCGCCTCTCCAAGCCACCTCTTTAATTCTTGAATAATGGCCTTGTTCACCGCTTATGCCTGCCTATTAGTTTGGAGATGCTCCAGCGAGCTGGTAATGTGCTTTATTCCCAATCCCTAGTAAAAGGCTACCAATTTCTTATCCACGAATTGCCTTCCGCTGTCTGTGATTATCGTCTACGGCAATCCAAACCTACAAATGAGCTTCTAGAACAACTTCTGGACTTGTGCGGCGGATATGGTAGCGAGAGGCTCGGCTTCCACCCACTTAGTAAAGTAATCAATGGCTACCAAGAGAAACTTTCTCTAAGCTCTGTCGACCGACATTAAACACTTCATCAGCAAAGCTGCGAAGCCTCTTCGGTACAACTCTTCCCCGATTAGAAGATACCAAGCAATTCTCTTAGAGTCTTTCGCTTTCAGTGGTTTCCATTCCTCCTGCCCCTTGATTAACTCTACGATTTCCTTTCTCCAATCAAATTGCTCAATCGGTTGGAAGGTAGCTGAACATTCTATGATAGGTTTCATCAAGGTCCTTTTAATCACTGAAGATAGCTGTCCCTTTTCTTTCCCACAGGCTAATTTGGATAGCACATCCACTCGAGCGTTCTCCTCTCGAGGTATATGCTTCACCTCTATTGTTTTGAACCGCTCCCTTAAACTCTGAGCTTTGTGAAAATATTGAAGCAAATGATCGTCTTTTACTTGGAAGCCTCCATTCTTATGTCCCTCAACCAGCTGTGAATCGGTCTGGCACTCTAAAGAGAGAACGCCTAAGTCAAGAGCAAGCTCTATACTTGCTATCAGGGTTTCATACTCAGCTTGATTGTTACTTATCTTGAATCTAAAGATAAGCGATTGTTCAATTATCACACTGTCTGACCCTTCAAGCACAATTCCCGCTCCTCCTCTGCTCTTACTAGCTGATCCATTGAAGAAAAGCTTCTAGATGAATGGGTTATCCCCGTCCTCCACAGGAAGTTCCGCCGCAAACTCTGCCAAGTGTTGTCCTCTTACCAACCCGAGCGAATCATAACGTAAATCGAACTCTGATAACTCAACGGACCAACCCACTATCCTTCCTGCCAAATATGGTTTCTACAGGTGTTTTGCCACTGAGTGATCGGTTCTTACCACCACCTGGTGGCTCTAGAAATAAGGCCTCAAGCGCCACGTTGCGTTCAATACTCCCAACACTACCTTCTCCAATTGCTGATACCTTTTCTCTGAATCTTTAAGAATTCTGCTGACAAAGTAGATTGGCTTGAACTCTGGAGTCTCCTATACTAGTGCAACACTAATCGTGACATCAATCGTAGCTAAATAGAGTTGCCAATCATGCCCACTCTCCGTTTGTCCCATGACAGGTGGGCTAGTTAATATCTGCTTCACTGATCATTCCACTGTCCTTTAACATCTTTCTTCATTATTTTAATGATTGGCCTTATCCGTTCAGCAAGTTTAGGGATAAACCTGGATAAGGAAGTCAATCGTCCCACTAACCTTTGCACCTCCTTCAAATTTTGAGGACTTCTCATCTCTAACACTGCTTGGCACTTCTCTGGGTTAGCTTCAATCCCCCGTTCAATCTGCATGAAACCCAAGAATTTTCCTACCGTAGCCCCGAACGAGCACTTAGCAGGATTCAATCGCATACCGTATCTCCGCACCTGCCCAAACACTTCTACCAAATCCTTCACATGCTCCTCCACCGTTCGACTTCTTATAACCATACCATCAACGTATACTTCCATACATCTCCCAATTTGCTGCTTGAAGACTTTATCCATCAACCGCTAGTAAGTGGCTCCAACGTTTTTAAGGTCAAATGGCATGACCTCATAGTAGTAATTAGAACGCTCTGTGATAAATGCTATATTTTCACAATCTGGATGATACATGTGAATTTGATTATACCTAGAGTAAGCATCCAAAAAATTGAGAATCCGATATCCTGATGCGCAATCAACTAATCCATCAATGCTAGGAAGGGGATACGTGTCTTTCGGGCATGCCTTATTCAAATTGGTGAAATCTGTACACATTCGCCATTGCCCGTTCGACTTTTTAACCATTACCACATTAGCAGCCACGTGGTATACTTCACCTCCCGAATGAACCCTACCTCCATTAGCTTCTTAACTTCCTCGTCCACCGCCCTCCTTTTTTCCGCCCCCAATCTTCATTTCTTTTGCGCCATCGGGCGAGCTTCTCTGAATAAAGATAATTTGTGCGACATTATGCTGGGATGAATTCCTGGCATATCTGCCGCCGTCCATGCAAACAAGTCTTTATTATCCCTCAATGTTTTCCGATGGCCTCCTTCTGATCATCCTCGAGGTTCCCTCCAATGGAAGTATATTGCTCTTCCTTTTCTCCCAGACTCCACGACTGTAGTTCACCGAGCGGTTCCATACGATCTTCGATATTCGTCATAGGATCCAGATCTGCCATAACTACCTCCACTCCTCTTGCTCTTGGTCTTGGTGTCCACGGTTCCATCTTTAGTCCTGCCACATAACATTCCCGCGCCATCCTCTGATCTGCCCTAACCGTACAAATCTTGCCCTCGTCTGACGGATACTTCAACGTCAAGTGAGGTGTGGACACTATTGCTCCAAAAGCATTTAAACAAGGTCGACCTAGTAGGACATTGTATGAGGTGTTAGCCTTAACTAACAAGAATCTGACCTTGAATTGGGTTAGTTTTAATTGGATGTATACTATTAGGAGAGGACATGTTGTTAATCCCATCACTATTGTTCAAATGGAGTGCCCCTTTGGACTCGTGACATTGAGGAGGAGATAGTTCCTCTCTGTAGGTAAGTTCAACTTCTTCTCCATAAACAACAAAATCAGTTATGTTTTGAGGAATCATTAATTGAGAAAATTGATATGCAGAAACTTGAGCTTCTTGGTCTTTCTGAGGATCAGAAGCGGCTCGTAACTATGTGGACCTCATTTGTTAAGAAACATAGGTAAGTTGTTCTTGTTTTGATTCAAGTCGTTTACTTCTTCTTGGATTTGAACTTGTTGCTTTTGGATTTCTACTTTCTGCTATCTGTAAATAATTTTGTTCTTGTGAAAGTGTGCTGGTAGATGGCCATATGAATTGACATACGAAGCTCCAAGGTATAATAATTATTAATATTCTTCATCTTTGATTATGTGTTCATCAAAACGCAAATACTTGAACGAAAGGAATGATTTTCCACATCAAAAAGACTTTACTTAAAAAGAAAATTTTAAGACGAATCTGATGATCTGTTTTTACTCTTTGAATCGATAGAATATCTTATCTTATTCCTTATCTTCAAATCAAAATTATATTCTAATATATTGTTTCCATTTGATCTGTATATTAATTTTCTGCAATAGTTCCAACAACAATGTCTTGAATTTCTTGAAAAGTGTTCTCTTATCCCAATCAAAATCTCCAAATTGGGTTGCTCTTAATGCGTTTCAGAGACCTCGGAGAACAGTGGTACAACCTCCATCACCAATCCATTGTTTGACCTCCTCCCCTATTGTAGAGAGGCCTTTCATGTCTGCATCCTGCATATATTATGAATATGTGTGAAAACGATGACCTGTGATTGGAATATAGACTGTAATTGTATTTCAAATACTAGAAAGAGGCTATTGCTAACCCTGATAACTGGAACAAAGAACCCATTATCAGGATAATAATAAAAGCATTCCCATAAAATCATCACAAATATAATAAAATATATAGTCAATCATTACCAAATATCAATCCAATAAAGCTGTTTTATAATGTCCACATATTGTATACTTGCTGTTTAAGATCACACAGAGTCTTCATAGAGTGTTTGATGTAATCATGAATTTGATGTAGAAGAAATTATATTGACTTATTTTTATAAGAAATAAGACCAAATTGACAACATTCAAAATGGTGGAAAGAAATTATGAAAACTACCCTAACATTAACATCAACAAGCCATTAACCTATATATATATATATAAATTTATGAAAGAAGAATAAGAATATTATTTTATGAAAATGACACTCAGATTTTCTAAATATACAGATTTTTTTAATATACTTCTGATGTATATTTATTTTAAGTAAACTTTATAATTTAAAGACAAATATTTATTCTTTTATTTCCAAGTCATAATGTGTTTAATTATTATAATAACACAATTATATAATAACTAGAAATAACAAAATGATTTTTTTGACTTTTGCTCCTTTTGCAAAAATAAACACTACCTGTCATACGAACTCTTGAATATCACTCTAAGAGAGTGTTTTTCATTTGGGGAAAGTGCTTCTGTCAATTCCAAATACATATCCTCTTTGGATATGAACTTCACACTTATTTAATGCAACAGAAATTGATCACCCTTAGTCTGTTCTCTCGTTGATTTTTATAATTAAGTTTTTTTTATATGTATTTCTTTGATTACAGGGTAGGTGATGGTCCCATAGCTGGATCCTCTGCATATGCTGTAGAGGAAGTTGGTGCATGTTGTGCAACTGGGGATGGTGACATCATGATGCGCTTCCTTCCATGGTAGCACAGAAAGTCTCTAGTTTCTCTATTTTACATACTGAGTTACTTTTTGTTAGATTCTCTTTAGAAGTTATGCATATTGGCATACGCACAGACAATTTGATGGTGTCTTATTTTCATTGCATATCTATTGCTTGTTAATTTTGGTACGCAACTTCTATTTGGGGGTGAGCACAACTGGTCCATCATGTAATGTTCTTGCTTAATAGTTAAATGATAATTTTTTTGCAACTAGCGTATTAAACTTATTTTTCTAGTGCATTGACCTGTAAAAAACATTACCTTGGTAATTTCAACTTTCAAGCGTTCTTACTATAGTATAGTTACACTTCAATTAAATATTCTTATGTGTTTTCAATTCTGAATATCTAGATGAATACTTCTATTCAATTTCAGCTATCAAGATGTGGAAAGCATGAGGTTGGGAATGGATCCCAAACTTGCTGCCAAAGATGCAATAGCACGAATAGCGAAAAAATTTCCAGATTTTCTGGGAGCAGTTGTTTGATAAGTTATGTCACATCTCTTACATCATTTATGTGTATTTCTCATTAAAGTATTTCCTTCTCCATTTTATGAATCCTAAAATCCCCTTTGACTTCATGTTTTCTATTGTCTAATTTTATATTTGAATCCTAATAATAACTAATATAGTATTTATATTTTAACTTAATGCATATTGTTTAGGCAATACCTTGTTCTTGCACTAGTAAATCGGATGGCTTTAACACTATTCAAATTAATTGCAGCAATTGAGAGGGAAATGACAGTAGCTCTAACACTTGGGTCAATACCAATAGAGGCTTCAAGTTCAAATGGAAGCACATTCTTCTTTGGGGAAACACTGGCTTGCTTGCAGGTAATTTCTATACATTCTCAAATCTTGCTCGTGTAATTTGATTAATGTTTAACTGGTACATTGAATTCTTTGTCACAACATCATCTTCTTTTAAACAAAGCTGGTAGACTAATTATATGGTTATAATTTGTGTTAATCAAGCTTGTGGTTAAACCTGCTTTGTAACAGAGCTGAGGCTGAAGAACTCGGGGTACTTATTTTTCTCCTTTCGTTATATATAATGGAATTTGTTATTCTACATCAGCGAGTGTGTGGTGGTGACTAAGAAATGGCGTCCTGTTCAAAATGGAAGAAAACCAAGGGAGGTTTTTGTCCCCACTGTCATTAATATCATGTTGTTATGCTACTTCTCTCCAAGTCTTAGCGATGGTTTTAAAACTAGACTAGCGGTTATATAATTTCATCATTTAAGTTAATGTTTTTTTGTCGTTCTTTTAAGCAGCATGACAGTTTTTCTCAATGGAAATATGGGTTTGAGTCAGGAACTTCATTTATCCCGGAGAGAACCCAGTCTAACTTTCTGGGCACCCAAATCAGGCTTTCTTGTTACAGTATGCTAGTCTTGGATATTTTAACCTTAATCATTCTAAGCCACGTGTTTTGAAAGAACATCAGCACCCAGGCAGTTTTCAAGATTTGTCATCCAAGAACTTGCATGATTTCTTGTTCAGATTAATATGTTTTATTGGAAGTTGTAGGTCTGGTTGATTGTTGTTGAAATCAGAAAATAATGTATTTTTATTCCTAAGTTTCAGTGTGATATGGAATAAAGTTAGGAAATGGAATTACATGTGTGATGAACTGGTGATTATGAATTTATCTATTTTTTTTTCTTTTAATTTCCACTATTTTTAGAATGAAATATTGTGCATAAGAGGTAGATTATTTTATAAGGTGTTTTACTAAGGAGAATTAGGCTAGGAGAGTTCATTAATTGAAATGTAAATATATAATTTTTTTTTTAAAAAAATGATTTTTCAGGCGGTTTTGGAAAATCCCTGGTAAAATTTACCGGCGGTTTTTCAAAAACCCGTGGAAATAGGAGCGGTTTAACAGAACCTCGGTTAATTCCGGCAGTTTTAGAAACTCCTAGAAATAGGGACGGTTTCAAAAAAACCGTCACTAATTTGTAATGCTGGTTTTCCCAGTTGTTTTTGTAACCGCGGTATGCACTAAGCTAATTTAAATAATTAACTTTAATCAAAATTTTACGTGTATTTATTTAAATTAACGTATGTGTACGAATAACTAATAACTCAATTCCAAATAATTAATGAATCATCTTACTTATTTAAATATCTATTTACATAAACTTAAAAAATATTTAAGTAAATTATTTTACACTAGTATTAAATTGTATAAGGTTGAAAAAGAAAAATTAATTTCATATCACACACAATTTTAATGTATTTTAATAATTAATTCAAAAAATTAAAATATATTTGAACATTTTCTATATTTAGAGATCAAATTCTTGTTTATTACATATTGAAAATGTTATTTTATAGTGATTCAATATTATATATTCAAAATAAATTATAAGCTCTTATTAAAATATAATTATTTTTTATAAAAATATTTTTTAAAAAAATAAATTATTAAATGAAAACTTAAAAAGAATATATAAAATTACCTTATTTTTTATTAAAATAAATATATTACTTAATTAAATTATGAGCTTAACAAGTTTCACTTTGACATTTAAAATATTTTTTATTACCTTAGTTATATTAATGGCCATTTTCATTTTTAGCTTAAAATTAACTATATATCTATACTTTTATACTATAATATAAAGAGATTCTATCTTTTGATATACACATTTAGTTTTCAATTTTAACCTTTAAATATTTTTTAAATTAAAATAATTATTTTACTAACTTTACTTTTTATGTGATATTTTTTAAATTTAATAATTTTCGATTTAAATTTTTTTCTCATAAAATTTAACTATTTTTTAAATTAATAAAAATATTTGTAATGAAAAAAGTTATCTAAAACAACTAAAAATTACCTACAATAAAATTATAAAAATTATTTAAATTTAATTTATAATTATGATAATATTTTTTTTATCATAAAAAGTGAGCACCGCGCATGTATGTATCTTCACTAATAGTTAATAATAGGTTTAATTGCTTCCTTTGTCCCAGTTTGGTTGAATTGTGTCAAATTCATCCTCATTTTTAAAAAAGTTTCATTGTCATCCTCACGTGGTGTAAAAGTTTCATTGTCGTCCTCACGTGGTGTAAAAGTGTCAATTGAATCCAAACATAGAAAAAATTTGTGTCAAAGTAGTCATTTTTCCTATATATCTGTGCCTTACTTTCATACAATCAAGTACAGATATTCATTTTACCTTATCCAATTTAAGGCTTTTCATAGCTCCAGAGAAGTGACATATGAAAGGAAGACACAGAGATATAGGAAAAATGACTACTTTGACACAAATTTTTTCTATGTTTGGATTCAATTGACACTTTTATACCACGTGAGGACGACAATGAAACTTTTTTAAAAATGAGGATGAATTTGACACAATTCAACCAAACTGGGGACAAAGGAAGCAATTAAACCTTAATAATAAGACTTAAAAAACAGGTAAAATATATTATAAATTTAAAATACTAATAAAAATTTCCACAGATATTAAGAGCGGGATCTCATTTACACAAAATAAAAACATTTTAAAACATAAATATTAGTGTCTTAGTCATTGTTTGAATTTATGTACTTTTATATATATATATATATATATTTTTTTTTTTTTTAACAGTATTAGTTCTATAAATGAGTTTAAATCATGAATTACAACTACATTATGTTGGTCTCATTATAACTGTGCTTCGGCTTATATGCATTAAGTTATTAATTAGCCATGAAATGTTTTTTTGAGATAGAGATAGTGCTTTCAAAATTTTTAAAGATTAAATTATACAATATATTATACAGGTATAAAAAATTAAAATTTATTCATTTTACAAAAAAATTAAAATTTATTCATTTTACAAAAACTTAAAATTAAAATTTTAAATTTTATAAGGTTTGGAATACAGTTTCTTCAATAAAAAAATAAAATCAAGAAATCTTCTTTTATAAAGACTAAACTCTTTCAGTTTAAAAAATTATTTAAAATTTTGTATAACTATGAACTCAAATTTTAAAATATAATGAACTATTTATCATTGTATTCAATGAATAGTGTAACATCTCAAAGATACAGTCTAAAATTATATAATAGAATATTTACATTGGATAATATTACATATCAGTCTTACATTAAAA